GCTGTCATTGGTGGAGTACATTCTTGGACCTAGACACTGTAACTTTACATGTATTACTTCACTTTTTTCTTTAACAACTGTGTGAGATCAGGTATTATTACTGTTCCCATATTATAGATGAGGAAACAACTGAAAAATCAGAACAATGACTGATTTCTCCAAGGTTATTCAACTAGTGGTAAGGGACAGAGCTGGGACTTGAACTCAGAGGGTCTTCCAGAGTCCACCTCTTAACCACAGTATAGACTCTACTGCTTAGTATTAGCACTTAGGCCAGCCTCGTTGGTTGACAAGCCAACTGACCTGATGCCACCACACAATGCCAGAAAGTTCTTTTTTTAATGTGGCCCCGTGAGCAGGACTTCTGAATTTGAATGATCCAGAGTAATGTAAGAAGTAGCTGTGCCTACTTCTGTTTTGGTGTCTGCGGTCATTTTTCTGTGTGTGCCTGTGCACATGTGCATGCGTGCATATGCACATAGGTGCACACTTGAGCAACCCAGACATTCACAGCATCTACTCTTTTACACACGTGCTCTTGCATAGTCTTCTTATATATCTAATGGCTATTTGCAGGAAATCGGTGAGTTGCAAGATAATTTTCACCAACTACAGTGTGATAACAGAATTGCTGACTCGCTTCTGTAAACATTTTGAGAACTTTCAATGTTTTATGAAACTTTCCGATAATACATTAATATTGAGCTGTTTCTTGGGGAGACCCTGTGGGTGGGCCAGTTATCCTAATCCCAAGGCCCTGTGTTGGTAGGTATGGGATTCTCTTGTGGAATGGCCCCACTTCAGAGTAAATTCAGTGATAATGCTTGAATCGTGCCCCTAGTGCCTTTCAGGATGAGGATGATACTGTGGCCAGTTGGTCTGTTCCCCTGTACCCAAGGATGTTACTGAGCAATGACAGGAGTTAGCATTTATCTGCAGTGTAATTTTACATCTAATTTTATTTTAATTTATTTTTTTTCATTAGGTAATCAGCCACAACAAGGAGTGGCTCCCTATGGGCATTCTTCACACTTCTGAATCTGGAAGGGAAGACGCGCAGTTTTTTGTTTGCACTGAAAAATAGAAAATCAAATTTAATTTATTAGTCATCCTGGAAATGTCCCTTTGATCTTTTAGTTCTTTGATATTTTCCCATATTTTATGCTAAATTTCATGCAAAGGTACTTAAACAAAAATTAACAGAGAAATTGTGGTTTAATTTTGTCGCACTCAACTTTACAATAGGTTTTAAAAGGTGGATCATGCAGGCCTAATCCAGAAAGAATGTGGTAGCAGACCTTTTGAAATTGGTGCTTCTTTCTTTGATTATCACACTTAGAGAAGAATGAATTATGGTGGGTTTAAGTATTTATGTATTCATTAATGGTGAAGTCTTTTTCCTTTTCTTTTCCTTTCTTTTCTTCTTTTCTTTGCTTTACACACTGTGGTGAACCAAACTACTGATTTGAAAGTCATGTCAGGTCTTGACAGGAAAATGACCCATTTTTTTCTGCATTCACCTGTGATGATGAAATGAACATTTATTTGCATCACTTTAATTTGAAATATTTGTAACTTCATAAGCACTTTATAAACTTTGTTCTTATTTATATAGGACTTTCCTTTTGTTGTGGTCAAAAGGTGCTGAAACAGATTGTTGCTTAGTACCTAAACTTCAACCAAGGCTTCTGTGAGAACCACCCTAAGATATGTGCAAGATTATTAGAAGTAACTGCACTTGAATTTGTTATCAGTGACAAGATCATTAGCCAGAATCTTTGTGAAGGTGCAGCAGGTAATCCTAAAGGCCCAGGAGAATCATGGAATTGTCCTATTTATTTACAATTTTGGCAAAAATGACTCTTTCTGTAAGGTTCTACAGAATTTTATGCCAACTTCAGAAAAAAAAAAAAAAAATCTTGCAGCTGGCCTGAGAGTCCACAGTGCTCCAACTTGACATGGTTTCCAGAGACTCTGGCACCAAAGTCCAGAAGGCTCTGATTTTCATAAAAGGTGTATTTGCTGTTTATTTTGTATGGTAAGTATTTGCTATTTTGAATTTAAATATTCCTGTTGGTGTCAGTCTTAGTTGTGTATTACATATACTGTATTTATAAATCGGTGCAAAAAGCACAAATAAAGTAAATTATACATCAAATTTATTATAAAGAAATAGTAACTATTTTAACTTTGTTCAAGTATGTGGTAATTTGCTCCTATTAGAGTAAAAAAATTGCAGTAAATTATCAGTTTGTGTAACTTAAGAGTATTCCATATAATATTTTTTTAGATTTAGATGCATAAAATTTTGAATGTGAAAATTGCAGGGCATTTTGAAACATATGTGGGGGATATTTTCCCGTGTTCTGTGTTAATTAATTTTCTTTTATCTCATTTTACATGTAATGTAGTTAAGCATACTGTGAATAGATTTGTCTATAATGAGCAAACCATGTAGATCTACTTTTTAATGTAGCTAGTATGACTTTAGTAGATAATTTCTTTTACAGTTCATCATTGAAGTAATTTATATCTCCCTAGGTGAGTTACTCATTGCAAAGTTTGACTCATGCAAATGACCTCAAATACATGTCAGCTTACTTTGCTGTGGCAACATCTATGTGAACTGCTTTGTACACTGTGAAAATATTTCACTCCAGCCTGCTTATTTTGTGTTTACTCTGGGCTGGAAAAGACTTTGCCAAAACATTAAAGACCATTCTTTTCACTAAATTAATACTCTATGTGCTTTCAGAAAATGTGTCTTTTAAGTTTCAGCTGTATCTGTGTATCAGCATTTTTTTCCTTTCAAGAATCATCCTTATAGTTCATGAAGTTAATTTACTATAAAGTAATATGACTCATTGGCAGAACAACTCGGAATGTTGTGCCTAGTGAACAAGTTATATCCTGTCCTTGTTGGTTTCCAGAATTATTGGTATTTAAAATGCCGTTTTTCAGTTTGAACCATATATTTTTTTAGCTCAATATTGCAAACAGCAGTAATACTGTTTCAAGAATGAGTGTTATAATTACATAGCATTTGTATGCACTTTACATTTTGCAGGAGTTAATTTATTAATCATTTTGCACATAAAAGCTAAGAAATATACTTTTGATGTTTTGTACTTTTTTTAAGGTGAAGAAGCTAAGTCATAGCAAAACCTGTAACTCTTGAGTTGCTATGGAAGGCTTAGAAAAACAGAGCTGTTTTTCCCCAGTGCACTATAAGGAAAGTAACTGGAATTTTTAATTTATTTATCATATTGCCTCCCATTTCATTCTCTATCCTGAGAGATTTTTTTTTTCTTTTCTAGTGAATGCATTAGTTTGCATTAAAGTGATCACAAGGGGAAAAAAAAAACTTTGCAGTAATATCTAGTAATTTGTTTGGTGAATTGCAGAGAGGAAATTTTCTTGGAATAAAATGGTGACCCAAGATCCCCTGAAAGATAAGACCTTGAAATCTACCGGAGTTACACTTACCATCATTCCTAGATGTAAGAATCCCTGAGACCAGTGGTGGATACCCAGTGGCACCCATGCTGCAGTGGGCTGTTGGTTATCATTGAAAGCTCTAAGGTTTATGACCACTGCCTTAGAAACAGTACCTCATTACCCTGTGGGCTCCTTCTTGACAGGGTTGCATTTGTTGTTTTATTTACCTTTTCTGTGTGTGTCCAGAAATAGAAGGGGATCAGTTAGCAATGAGACTTCTTTGATGTCTTGCAGCCAGAGGATAGTAAGATTAGTAGCAATCAGGTCCCTTCTCAGATGGGGCCAGCTGAAAGTTGATATGATGGGAACACATTGAAGGGAGTTCTCCCTTGTATCGTAAATGATTGGCAGGGGCTCAAAGAGCTCTCAGTTTTTGTGTACTGTGCTATCTGAACAAAATTTAGAGCTTAGTTTTTCATTTACAAGGCTGTAGTTTTAAAGCAATAGGTGAGTATCTGAACAAATACTTGAGAAATTACACTGGAATGTTCCAGCCTCTAGAATTAGAAAAGATGAATTATATAATGTCTCCAAAATTGAATTAGGCATGTGCAATAAATTGTCAATTGCAACAAGCAACATTTTGTAGGATTAATCTAAATTTCAGTACAGTGAAACTTCATTATATGTAATAGATCCAGATTCTCCCAAACATTTGTTCACCGCATAAAGAATCATTACTTAATGAAATGAATGCTCAAAGCGAAGATTTCTCCTCAGAAAACTTTCTTTACATACAACTCCCAACCAGGGATGCCTGAGCTAGATTTTAAAGTTATAAAGGAGTTTCACTGTATTTTTAAAAATGTTTTTAATGGATATATTGGGACAAAAAGGTAATCAGCCCCCTTTTCACATTTTATGATGTGTGGATTTTAATTTGCCTTTTATGTGTGGAAAAATTAGCCTGCATTTATTTTTAAATGCAGTTATTAAACATTTTATATTCTCCATCAATGAAAATTTTTAATGTGAACAAATAATAAGTCATAACAGTTCAGTGCTTGTTTTCAGTAGGTTTTAGCAAAATATTTATAAACCAATGACAAACTATTTATAGATCAAGATGGTAAATTTACATAAAGATTGCAAATTTAATCTTTTCCACTGTCTCTGTTCTGAGTGCCATGCTTGTAACATTGATAGAAGATGGATACTAGGCAACTGGTAGTAAAGAAAAAGAAAATGTCCATTTGTTACTGAAAAATTCAGGTGCATTAGCCATTTGTTATTTTATTGTGGACTGTTTGCTCTTAATGTTTGTTATTTGTTGGCAAAATAAAAGTGCCTTAAGTTTAAAGTTTATGTTGGGATCTATTAAAGAAATCAGTATGAGTTCATAATGCATTTATTTACGTGTCTTTTTTGCATGTCCATTGTAAATTTAATATTGTAAATGTATTCAGAATCATTTACATGCCTATGGCTGCCTTTGATTAAACTTCTTCCAAAAAATAAACTGTCCAGATGTTGAATTTGTTCAATTTAAATTTTATTTCATGTCATATAACTTGAACCTAAGTTGTAGCATAATCACTGCCAAGTGGATTCTTTGTTATGCATTTGTATATCCCAGAATCCTGAGATCTGAGGATTCTGAATAATCAGGGTACCTGTGGGTGAGGCACTTTACTTTCAAGGGTTCTCCTTTTACTTGTCCTTGGGAACAAGGAGTGGCCAGACATCTCCCAGGTGACTTCTGGTTTGGGCATTCCAAGGGCCATACATTGGAGCTGGAAAGCCACTCCTGTCTTTGTGAGGATACTCCTGGGTGGGCGATTTGTGATTCAGGGAGAATAGGCCACAGTCATTACTGGAATAGTAATAAGTGCATGGCCAGCGCTATTTTGAGCTTTACAAATATAATTTCCTCTGTCATAAGCTGTTGCTTTTTTGATGACCAAAGTGCCGTTTTTGTGCAGTATGTATTTCCCATTAATCTGAGGCCTGTCTATTACATAGCCACTTGGTGTACTCCATTTAACACTTGGCTTAGGTATTCCATCAGATACACAATGCAGTGATAAGGACTCTCCACTGATTATTTTTATTGTCCCTAATGCATAGGTAAGGATAACTGGCTTCTGCCCAATCTCTAATATGATTAACTTCTCAATATATCCAACTTTATTTCTAGCTCCACACCGATATTTTCCTGCATTATTTCGGTTTGTTTTACTGATGATAAAGGAACCATTGCTTGCTATGTGGTACTTAGAATGTTTTGGTTTGTTAGAAAATTGTGTGCCATTTGGTAGAATCCAGATTATTTCAGGTGGTGGATTACCATCAACAGAGCAATTCAATGTGGTTGACTTCCCAAGCTGGGCAACTACTTTTTCATTGAATGGGTTTCTGAATGTTGGTCTTCTCAGCATTTCTAGTACTTCTAACTGGACCACCAACACACTCTCTCCTCCTTCATTCCGAGCCACACAGATGAAATCAGCCGAATCTGAAAGCCTCAGGTTCCTAATTTCCAAGGTTCCATTTTTATAGACTTTAATTCTGCTTCCATAATATGGGGCTGTGAGGAAAATATTGTCTGGCACAATCCACATGGTTTGAGGAGATGGTGTCCCTTCAGCTCTGCAGTCAAAGTATTTTTTCGAGTGCCTCACAGCTGTGGCTTTAATAACAGTTTTGTTTGCATACAGACCATTGATTAGTGGAGGTCGTGAGACAACATCCAGTTCGTACATTTTCCTGTCACCCCCCCTGGGGTTTTGGGCCACACATACATACTCTCCAGAATCGAGCATTTTCACTTTGTTGATAGACAGAGACCCATTGGCATGAAATACGTACCTATCATTGGAGAATGAAATCATGTCATTAGAAGGTAGCAACCAAAATATTTTTGGTTTGGGTTCTCCAGTGACCTCACAGTCAAGCATAGCTGTGGCCCCAACTTTGATTCTCATGGCTGTCCTGTAACCCTGCCTTATTCGTGGGGCAGCTGTTACAACTGTTAGGTGAACCTTCATTTCATCCTTCCCTAGGGTGTTCTGGGCATAGCAAGTATAATCTCCTTCTTCTGCAATCCCAACTTTGTTGAAATATAGGGTCCCATTATTGAAAAGGGTGTACCTTCTGGCCCTATGGCTACTGTCATCAGCTTGCATTGCATTGTTTATCAGTGTTCCATCAGGTAGACTCCAGGATATCTCAGGCATTGGGGAGCCAGAAGCTTTGCAGTCCACTTGGAAATCTTTCCCATGGAGCACCTGTGTTTTGAAATGCTGCTTGTGGTCAATTTTGGCAGGCTTTAGCCTCAGGCTCACATGCATCAGGATCAGATCATCTCCCATTTTGTTTCTTGCCACACACAAATAGTCACCACCATCTTTTTCTGTTACTGAGCCAATAAACAGGGATCCATTTGGATAGACGTGGATTCGACTGCCTATTCTAAGGAGAGAAGAGAGATTTGAGTCTGTAGCTGTTAGCAGTAGAAGTTTCTTTTCAAAAAAACTTAAAAATGACATTAAAAACACGTATTGTGTGCAATATGATATAGAAGTTATATGAGCTTGGTTCCTCCAACCCTTACTGATGCATATGCAACAAAAAAATGTATATATTCAAGGTGTACAGTGTGATGTTTTCTTGCACATATGCACTGTAAAATACCATGAGCACCTATTTTCTCACCTAGTTGCCTTTTTTGGAATGTGTGATACATGAGATTAGCTTTACGGACATTTTCTTAAACTGTTGCAGTGAAAATTTAAATCAGTCTTAGCTTACTGTTTTTTAAGCCATTTGCTGAAAATTAAAATTATGTAGGTGTAATTTAGTGCAGACAAATGATGTTATCTCATGAACTTCAGTTGAATCTCCTTACGTGATTTTTAAAACATTTCAATAGCAAGAGTAATGTTTTCTTATGGATTTCCAGACACTGTGGCTCCCTTGACCATTCTAGATATCAAACTGATAAGCCCACAAAAATCACCATTTTGTAGTATATATTGGTACAGAAAAAAAAACTTTCATACAAATTTTAATATTAAAATTGTTGCCTGATTCTTTTCAAAAAGGTATTAGTAACAAAGCAATTATTCAGTCATTTATTTATAAAGTGAGTTCTGTTTTCTTGAGAGGATGCTGTTTAAAAGCTACTCAGAACTTCCCAAAACATCTCAAGAAGGAACTGTAAAATGATTGTTTTTTGTTTTTTGTTTTGTTTTGTTTTATTTTCTCCTTCTTTAGACACAGAGCCTGCCATTACCACATTTCACCACCAGCTGGCAGAACATTCCTGTTAAAATTCAATCTAGTTTATCAGAAGGACCATTAGAAATTAAATTGATGCTAGAAGTCTGATCAAGCAGACACATGGGTGAAAAATCTATGTACATGCATTTTTCTTTTTTTTCAACATGTGCCAAAACAGATGAAACTGAAAAGTGAGGACTCTCATAACATAACTGCTAAGCAAGTTAACTGCATTATTTTTATTTTCTACCCAGCGTAAGTTTTTGGAAGTATTGTCTATAGAACATTCTCGGAGGTACTTCTGTTGTTTTTGTTTTTCTTAAGTGTGGAAGGAATTTCACATATAAATCAAGGTAAAATCTTCATAAAAGCTGCATTAATAACAAAACTGCTAGATGTTTTACACTACTTTTAAAAATCGTGACATATTTTCCCAATTATGCATATGAAAAACTGACAGATTAGTAACATGGCAGTCGCGTGTTTTTCACAGTGCCACACTTCCACCTGCTGTTATCCTTTGCTGACACATTCTAAAAGTATTAGTTATCAAACTGGACCAAATATTAAAATCACTTGTGGAGTTTAAAATACTGATGCCTGGGTCTCACGTCTAGAATGTCTGACTTAAATGGTGTGGGACGTGGCCTGAGAATCAGTTTTATTAAGGTTTGCTGGACAATTGGATCCAACCTAAGTATCAGTTCTCAACATCATTCCCCCATCACCTGTGTCAGAATTGTGTCAGTGAACTGAATTTATGAAGCATGTTACCTAGCTTCACTTTTTAGAGTCTGATTCAATAGATCTGTCCAGGGATGTAGCACTTCATTGCATAACAACTTCCCCGGTTACTTAAGAACAGTTAAATTTGAAAACCAGCCTCAAATTTTAGCGCACACCAAAATCACCTGAAGAGCTTTTAACACAGATTGTTAAAACAGAAGCAGGGCATCTGATTTAACAAGTTTTGGACACTGCTAATCTACCTTTTGACAAGGTAATGCATACTCTTTGACAACCTCTGACTTAGAGCGACAACCCCAACCGCCAAATTTGATGCACTTGAAGCAAGTAATATATAAGAGCTATACGTGACATACAGCTGTTTCTTTTTGGAAAGATAATTTACTTTTGAAAGGAGTTCTAAATTAAGTAAAAGTCTTTATAAAATGTAGATAGAATGCATCTACATTGAAGAGATGTCTTATGTACCTCCTCTACCACAGAGAAGAACCAGTCAACAACGGGAAAACTATTTTGAGCAGAGTGAGGAAGAATCTGGAAATAAGCAAAGAAGTGACAGGGGACCCAGAAGAGCATGGAGAGTTCAGAAGGCCGCCTAGGGGAAAGAACTCAGCAAATTGCAGCCTCAGCCTCAGCCCCCTGGCCACAGAGGGAAAAGATAGGAAAATGCCAGCAACCGGAAGCATAGCAGGCTGGCAGTTCTGACTGTAGGAGAATTCCATGGTCCTTACAGGCTTCGAGTCTAACAGAAAGCTGGCTGGTTTACAAGTGTGCTCTGGTCCAAATAAGGAAACCATCCATATTGCCCTCCCACACACAATTTAAGCCTAAATGCCACCTTGACTTACTACAGCCACTTCCCTGATGTATCCAGAAGCCTAGAACCTATGCGTTCCCTACAGGAAAGAGAGAATCTTTAAAAACAGCAATAGAAAAATGTCAAGTCACATACATATAACAGTGCATACTAAAGCTAGAACAAATTTATCAGCAGAACTCGAACACCAGGAGAATGTGGGGTGGTATATTCAAAATGCTGAAAGAACAATACTTGCCGGCCAAGAATACTATATGAAGCAAAACTATCAAAAAGGAAAAATTTAATGCTTTCCTAGATAAATAGAAACTTAGGGAATTCGTTTCTACCAGACCAACACTACAAAACAGTGCTCAAGGGAGTTCTACACAGAAAAGCAAAAAGAGGGCCAGGGATTTAGTTGCCGCTTGCCTCACAAGCACAAGGTCCCAAATTCGATCCCTGGTGTGGGGGGGAAACAAAAAGATACCTATCATCATGAAAACATATTAATATTTAAAATTCTACTTGAAAAAGTGGCTCCGTGAAAAAGAAGACTTAAAAATAACAAATCTACCAAATTACAAAAATAAGGTGGAAAAGAAGAGAAACATAAAAAATAAGCAGAATACAATTAAAATGATACAAGAAAGTTCATATCAATCAATAAAATGGTCTAAAGTACCAGAGTAAAGAAAATATAAGGGAAATTTAAATATCCGTAGGAAAAAAATGAAAATTACAGCATATCTATGAGATATAGCAAATGTAGTACTGAGTGCAGTTTATAGCAATAAATGTATAAAAATAGGAAAAATTTCATTAACCTCAAGATTTCAGAAATGTTCCTTTAAAGACTTAGAAAAGCACGCACGCACACACACACACACACACACACACACACACACACACACACATAACCCAAAACTAGTTGAAGGAAAGAAATAGGATTTACACAACAAAAAAAGTAAACAAATAAAACTTGTTTTATTTCATAAAACGAAAGGATACATTTGTTAACAGACTTTTAGCTAAACTAAAACGCAGGGGACAAGGATGGGGAAAGGACTCAAATTCAGAGATGCAAAATGAGATCATAATTTATGGCCTAAATATAAAGAATATGAGTATTGTAAACACATGAAACACTTATATGAAAAACCTAGAAAAGATGGATAAAATTCCAGAACACAGAAAATGTACCAAAACTGAATCAAGAATAAGAGACATAAACAGATTAATTAGTAATGAGGTTAAAATGGTATTTAAAAGTTTACCATCTTAAAAATTCTAGGACCTAATGGCTTCCTTGCTAAATTTTACAAAACACTAAGTTGAACTCTTCTTAAACTAATCTGGAAAATCTAAATGGAAGGAACTCTGTCAAAGTCTACACAAGGCCACACTACCCTGATACTAAAACCAGATAAAGCAAGAAAACTATAGACCCGTATTCTTGATGAACACAGATGAAAAATTCCCAAGATGATAACAGCAAACCAGCTTCAACAGTTGATCAAAAAGATCATATGCCCTGGCCAGGTGGGACTCATCCCGTGATGCAAGGGTGGTCTGATAAGAGCAAATCAACAAACATGATAAAACATAGCAACATAATAAAAGGCAAACATCACATGATCTTCTCAGTAGATACACGAAAAGCATTCAGCAAGATTCAATATACTTTCATCATAAGACCTTTCAAGAAATTATGAATAAAAGGCACATAGAATACTAAAGCATATATAAAAACCACAAACAATATCATACTGACCAGGGAAAAGCTGAAAAATTTCCTCTGTGACCAGGAACGAGACAAGAATTTCATCTCAATATAGATCTGGAAGTCTTAGCAAGAGCAGTTAGTCAAGAGAAAAAGCAATCAAATTGGAAAGTAAGAAGTTAAATTGTTCACACTTGCACTTGGCATGCCATGATTTTCTACCTAGGGAAACCCAAATTCTTTACCAAAAAGCTTTTGAAGCTTACCAACACATTTAGTAAAGATACAAGAAACAAAACATACAAAAGGTAGCATTTTTACATATCAATAATGAACTTGCTGATAAAATCAAGAAAGAAATCCCATTTGCAATAGCATCAAAAATATAATATTCAGTAATTTAAGGAGGTGAAAGGATTCTACAAGGAAAATTATAAAATACTGATGAAAGAAATTTTATAGGACAGGAAAGTGGAAAGATATCCCATGTTCACATCTCAGAGGAACTGATATTGTTAAAATGAACTTGCTATCGAAAGTGATCTATAGATAATACATCAAAATACTAATGGAATCTCCAAACTTTTCCAAACTCCTCTTGCAAACCAGCTCCAAAGGCTTCTGAACTACAAGATGAGGTAGAATCACAGCAATGACCCCACATCTCTGGTTCCAAAATTCTCAGTAATATCCCTTGCTGATAGCACAAAATACCAAACACCCACAACTTAAGGAATGAGAGATTTATTTGGGGCCACATTTAGCCCATAGTCTGCTGACACCAAGGCAAGAAGGCATGGCAGAAGTCCGCAGTGGAGGAAATCTGCTCATAGCATGGCAGACAGGAAGTCAAGAGATAAGGGAGGAGCTTGAGGAGGGGAGACACCCCCTAGGCCACACCCCTAAGTGACCCATATCTTGGAACCAGAGCTCACCCTCCAACAGCAGTTAGCTATAGTCCCCATAATCCTCTCACCTTCCCAAAGCCCTACCTATAAGTGTCTGAGACTCTTGGGGGACATCTAGATATAACAGGAAGAATTAGAGCTGGTGTTCCTGTAGCACAGTAGGAAAATTATTGGTTAAGATAATCTATAATATATTTGTAAATAACTAGATAAGTACAAAATTCCCAACACATAATGATTCATGTTTAGACATGAAAATGCTTATTACTTTGATTTGATTAATACACACTATATACATGCATTGAATTTCCATTTATACCTCGTGAAATGTACAAGTATTTGTGTCAACAAAAAATATTGGTATATGTGTTATGTAGATATATCAATTCTTCACAATAAATGCAATTGCAATCATTATGTACTGAAAATATGTACAAATAAAAAATAAAAATAAGACAACTAAAATAATTTTTAAAAATTAATGCAAAAGAAAACCTCTTCAGCCTTTCAAAAGCATTGTTTTTTAAACTTTCTTTGCGTATGACTCACCTGAGGATTTTAAAAACAGTGTGAATTCTGATTCAACAGTTTTGGGTGGAGCCTGACTTTAAGAAGCTTCCAGGTCATAAAGGAACAAAGTTCCAGAGGAAAGAAAACAGTTCTGACACGACACATAAATCACATGAGTGATGTTAAAAGCAAGGGAGACAGACTATCAGTGCTGAGTCTGGGATCATTTTTAAAAATCTACAACAGAGGCCCGGGAGTTTAGCTCAGTGGCACTGTGCCTGCCTTGCAAGTGTAAGATCCTGAGCTTGATCCCAATACCATGGGAAAAACAAACAAACAAACAAAAAACTACAGCAGCCTTTTTGGTTCAGCTGAGAATTACATTTTAAGAAAATGAAAAGTTTGCTTATTTGGGGCAAGTTGTGATGGATATGTGCCATCATAGCTGTGATGAAAGTTTTCTCATTTTTCAGACTCTAAATTCAAACTTCTATTCCTTTGATGTATGAGGATTAAGATTTTGGAGGGCTTTTCTGTTTTTTGTTTTGTTTTGTTTGTTTGTTTGTTTTTTGCAATAGAACTGTAATTATTTTCTGTTGACATATAAAATCTTAATCTTTCCACCGCTACAGATTAGAACTTTGAATTTAGATTGTAAAAATGAGAAAACCTTCATCACAGCTATTATTATTCTTGGCTTTATGAGGCTACTTGCAATGTAATCAGTGAAGTGTTCATTTTCTATTTCCTTATAAAAATGTAATACTGTGCATCTACTTGGACAACAATAGCGTCTACAATCTTATACACACTTTGACCTAGTCCACAGTAAAAACAGTATTTCTATATTCCACAAGTATTTTGCCAAAACAAATGATACACAGCCTGCCACATTACTTCGCTACTTAATTCTGGAGAATTTGTTGGAATACCTAGTCGATATTTATTCGGAAATGCTAATGTGTGTTTTAGAACACTTAACAACTATCCTTTGGACTATCTTTTTAAGACATTGCCTTGATTCTTGATAAAAGATTTGTATTGTCAAAAATGGACTTCATGCTTAGTAAATACCCAGATTAGGGACTTTCCTTTGCAACCTAAACTTTCACCTTTATTTGTAATTCTCACCATAAGTGTAACATTTTCATACTTCTTGCACTGGTTTCTACAAGGATAGTTACATTTCTATTCAAAAGTACAAATAATAATGAGTAATCTTTAGGTAAATGTGAATCATCCTTGGGCTGTGGAGTTTATTTTAAATACATTAATTTAATAAGTGATAATTAATATTAATGAAATGATTACTATAATTTGGAGGCAAGGAAAAAGGGCTGCCATTGTGAAATTAAATGCAAAATCTGATAAATAATGCATTAAAATATAAAGTGTCATAAATGGGCATATGTGTAGTGGATTATAAATACAAACATGGTTTCTAAAGTTCAAATTCTATAGCTCAACATTTAAACTTTTTAATTTTAAACTAACTTTAATTTAACATTTAGGTAATTTTGATGACTTATTTGAACCTGAAAATTAACATTTGCTTTTGAATTTTAAAATCACAAGTTAAATCCATTAATTTTATTTATTAGCAACTCATTGTGATAGTTGGTAAAAATCTATTATTCAAGTTCCAAGCATAAGTATTAATTCATTCCTCTAATTTTTATGCATGGATATTTTCTGTTAATGAGAGACATGAAATCACAAATTTTCATCCTCGTATTTTTCTGCCATGTTTGGAAAAATAATTGCACAAAGTTTTCAAATAGCAAAAGTTAGTGATTCATAAGCTGTAATTATTGTTTTTCAAGCTAGAATTTAATATATACAAAAATCAGCTATACAATGAATATTAATATGCCTGTAAAAGAACATATCAGAGAAAGTTGTGTCTATTTATACATCTTACAACTTCAGTGTGATGGAGGTCTTGGATACATTCTCTTGGTGAAGATCTTTTTTTTTTTTTTTAGTCAAGGTCTCACTATATAGTTGAGACTGACCTGGAACTCACTATGTAGTCCAGGCTGTTCTCGAACTCACAGCAATCCTCCTGCCTCAGCCTCCTGAGTGCTGGGATTACAGGGGTATGCCACCATGCCCGGCCTCTTGGTGAAAGATCTTAATGATGTTTCATTTGTAATTGCTTTGTGATTTTAGGAGAGAAGAAATTACTTAGTAAAATAAAGTTTGAAATGTCTAGTAGGAGACTATGAAGATGAAATGGAGTGTGTTCCTCTAGAACTTTAACTGCATTATGAAAATTTTCTCTTTTTTTTTGTATATAGACATTGTGAATACATTTACACAGTTCCCATTTTAAACCTGCCAAAAAGTATGGTGGAAAATGAAATTCATCCTTGTCTTATACTTAACTATACAAACTCAAGAATTTGACCCTTAGAATTAAGCATGTAAGAAGATTAGTTTTTATATTCCAATGGTCTCAAATAGTTTAGGTTTCTTTAGCAAGAGTTGCCTTTATGTGCAACCTGCGTGTTTTCAAAAATTCTTGTTAGGCTTGTTGTATCACCTTTTCCATTTCACAAGTTGTATATAGCTAAACAGATAAAGCAAATAGCTTTAACACAAAGATATAAGCTTACCTGTGCCACTGGTCAATGACAGCTTTGGATGGTAACCTCCAGATTATTTTGGGTTTGGGCTCTCCAGTAGCTGAGCAATTCAGTAGCAATTTATCCCCCAAATTCACCTCAGTCCGTTTCTGAGAGGCAACTTCTATCCTAGGGATAGTCTCTTGCTCTCTCACTGTAAGAATTACCACCCTTCTCTCCGAGCCTGTGGAACTGGTAGCAATGCACTCATAAGTGCCCCTGTCTGCAGAAACTATGTTTCTTATATGCAGACTCCCATTTGAATACAGAAGCAACTTGGAATTAGTAAACTGCAATGGTTTTACAGCAGTGCCATCAGAGAGGACCCAGTGCACAGTGGGCTGAGGACTTCCTTTTGCAGTGCAGGGCAGTGTCAAACTTTCACCCCAAATCCCTACCATATCTTGCCTCTTTTGTTCCAGAATAATAGGAGGAGCTGCAATGACCTGTATTTTAACCAGCCCTGAATCTTGGCCAGCAGGATTGCTGGCTATGCATTTGTAAAAGCCACGATCATAAATACTTAGATTATGGATGACCAGTGTCCCATCAGATGTTACCAGGGCCTGAGTCTTTCCCTGAGATGCTTCTGAGACCACTGTTTGGTTTGCAAGAATCCAGGAAATTGTGGGGCGAGGTCTACCTTCCACTCTGCACTTCAGTTCCACAGTGCTTCCAGAATGAACTGTGATCTCTTTGGTTTGTCTCTCCAGGATCCTAGGGGGATAGGAAACCACAGACAACGTGACATGAAGGCGGTCTGTGCCAAAAGGATTGGATGCCAAGCACAGGTACTGTCCACGGTCCTGAACGCTGACCTTCTGGATGGACAGGGTGCCGTTGGGGAGCACCTGGAACCGGCTGTTTTGTTTTCCTTCGGACAATTCAATTCCTGATGAAAAGAAAGAAATTTGTAGCCATAGGTCACCGAAATCTATATAGAAAATATCATTATTCTTTTGTTAAGCTTCTGAGAATACATTTCAAATTTTAAAATCTAGTTTTCAGATTGCTAAAATTATAGTAGTTATATGCTTTTAAAATTCACATAATTTAAATTTTAGAACCAGAAAATTTAATGCCATAGCCGTTCTTTCTTTTTCAAATCTTATTTTTGGGTGTTCTTCTAAAGTGTTTCAAAAACCATTTTTAACATATTTTAAAACCTAATGAGCAAAATTATGCAAATGCCAATAAAGAATATTAATATTTTCTGTGCTATTAAACCTCTGAAGACATCAACTCCAGTTTCAAATTTCTCCACAAATAAAATATTTTCCCTGTATTCCAACTGAAGAAGACTAAATGTAAGAAACATTCAAATACCCGATGAGACTCTACTCCAGCGAATGGTGGGCGGGGGCTTTCCAGTAGCTTCGCAAGGAAGTAAGCCATCTGAGTCCGCTGTAACAGTAAAACTTGCAGCTTTTCCTCCAACTATCCTGGGCTTTTCAAATGTATTTCTAGACAAAATGTCAGAGGGAAGGAATTGGGAAGTTGCTTTTTCAACTGGTTTCCTAGCAGATCCACTCTTCTGTGGCTTATTCGGTCTATCCCAATGCGAAGCACGAGAAGAAGGTTCTGGCCTGCTGAGGGTGGGAGACACGCTGACTGCTGGCTTTTTGTCCTCTTCAGAAATTTCTGGGTATGACTTGTGCCAAAATTGTTTTTCTGGCCAAGGAAAGGGCATCCATTTAGAAATCTGCGGTTTACCTGTTGTTCCTGGGGTTGAAGTAGGAGTAGAACGTAGCGGGTCGCAGTAGGTAGAGTGAGTGGTTCTAGTTGTGAACTCAGCTTTTGAGTGTGCCTTGGGTGGTACTGCAAGTGCTGCCACTGACTGCTGCGCATTAGTATCATGGCTTGCAGATTCATGCAGCTTGGCTATCACGTCTGTCGTCTTGAAAACAGGCGTCCCCACACTGTCGGTGACCGTACCTTGAGTAGAGGTAGGGGGAGTGGGCATGGGTATTACTGGAACACTGCTGCCTAGGAATGATGGCACGGGTGAGGGACTCAGTACGGTTTTCCTAGTTGTGCTACTCTGCTCTGATTTGCTAGACAAAGTTGTTTCAGAAGCAAATGTGCTTTTCAAAGTCAGAGTGTTCTCTTGGGGTAGTTCTTCAGTTTCGTCTGCCAGATTAGTAGTTCTTGAGTGCTGACCAGTTGTGCCCAAAATTCCACTTGTGCCTTCTAGGAGGGGATGAGTGAAAGCAGAGACATTTGGCTTGATTGAAGTTTCGGTTGTGGTTAGAACAGGAGGTAGCATAGCAGCAGACGCATGGACACCAGAATTCGGGCCAGAAGAGATGCTTGGATCATTCCTATTGTGAGACTCCTCTATTATTTGCTCTTTTTGCGCTGTGGGTCTTGCGGTTCGGATTTTATTGATAATGACAGATGCAAAGGCAGTAGGAAGAACTGCTGGTGTCGTTTGCACTGATATCAAGCTTACTGTATTTGATTTTTTGCTTGTGGTACTAGGAAACACAGGGTAAAACGGTAGGACGGGAAGTTCCTTCCTCGCTGGGATACTTTCCGGACTGTGTGTTTCAGTGATAGGGTGAACTGTAGTCGAAGTTGCAAGTGGAATTTGTGTCAGCCTTGCTGAAAGTGTCATGGGATGGATGGCAATGATTTTACTTGTGGGTAAAGCAGGAGATGTTTTAGGAAGCATTGTGGCTTTGCTTTTTTGTAAAGCAAATTTATGCAGATTCTTTAATAGCCCTTTCTGATTGTGGTTGTTTACAAAGGTCTGATGCAAGGGAATTTTCCTTCTTGAAAATTTTGTAATGCCTATAGCAGTATGCTTTGATGGCTTGGTAGTGGGACGTGAAAGTGGTGACATAATCTCTGAATCTCTTTCAGCTTTTCTGGTGCTAGACACATTTTGGTAACCATTATTTACCATAAGAGTTTTGTCCACAGATACAGGTCTTGGAAAGTAAGTCAAGACTCTACCAGTTGAAGTTCCCTGGGTACTTTCATCACTAAAAAATCTTATTGTGGGTGTTGTTCTCTCAATGTCTGCGATGGATTTGTTTTCAAACACTAGTGGTGGACTCTGAACTAGACGTGTAGACTCTTCTGTTGTGACCCTAGCGATTTTAGCATTGCGGAGAGTTGTGGGGGAAGATCCTGGAAGAAACAGTGCTGCTGTGGTGGAGGTGAGTCCCTGCCTGGGAAGACAGGATGGGCACATCATATGGAACTCTGTGGCTGAAAATGCAGTGGTGCTTTCCGCAGAGGAACCTCTGTATGTTGGCCTCACAACACCGTATCTATGCCGGCGGAGAACTGGGCTTCTATATGGGCTAATAATTCGCCCTCTGCCCCAAATTTTCCTCCGTCTCCCAAAGCGTCTGGATGGTGGGCTGAGACCTTTATTATTTCTGAATATCTGGAACTGAGAATGGACAGCAGTGTGCAGATCTGAAGAAAGTTTAGAGATGCTAGGATTTTGAGTAGTGTGAGAATGGAAGTGATTTCTCCTGGGCTCACTGCCTCTTGTTACAGGTGTCTGGTGGTTATCTATGATATTTACTGACTCTGAGACTATGTCGGCCTTTTTGTTAGTGCTATCAAGCATTTTAATATGGACATCATCAGTCACGGTCTTCCCTATTATTGGGAATGCACTTAGAAAATGCTCTCCTCTCTCCATCTGATCAACATCATGAAACTCAGTGACTCCAGACAGTAACGGAAAGATAGTATTTGGATTTCGGTTGGTTGTGCCTTGAATTTTGCTTGATATGGTTGGGTTTATATTCTTTGACATATTTGTAATTTTAATAGCAGTAGGTTGCAGTATTTGTGGACTTCCAAGTGGGGAGACTTCTGTGCCAGAAGCTCTATTTGTCACAAGGCTGTGAGATACTATTCTAGAGTCAGCAGTCATTGGAACACTAGAAGCTCTGGCTGCCAGGATGATAAATTCCTCATCTGGAGAGAGCATGCCTGAAGATTCTTCTTCCTCAATAGGTGTTTTCACAAGTTGGGTGACTGGAGGGTGTGGTTTTGCTGTGGTATTTTCCTGTTTCTCTGGCACAGTATTCTTTTTAGCTTTCTCTAGAAATGCTGCCCAGTATTGTGGGTCAATTCTCCGAGTAGAGGGAAGGAACTGCCTTCTATGTTCCCTAAGACGTCGGTTTGTTGAGTCTCCATGCCGCTTCTGTAGTAATTCCTGATAGCTGTCTTTCTTATTTAAACTTGAGACCTCTTTTTGAACCACAGTCCCCACAGCAGTAGCTGTAGGGAGTCGCACAGCTGGTAGGTCCTTAACATGAGCACTGGCATCAGGTGCGTTGAAACCAGATCCTTCTGTGTCCACATCGTGCTTCTCTGGCCTTTGATCTTTTATTTTGACAGAAACTTGAAAAGTCAAAGCATCCACCCCAAATGGGTTGGATGCTATGCAGTGGTAATGACCTTGGTCCTCCTGTGTAACACGGAATATTCTTAGTGTGTCATTGTTAAGAATTTGCTTATCTCTTGAGGACTGATAGAGCACTGTATTTCCTGGAAGAACCCAGCTAATAGAGGCATCTGGAGTGGCAGTAGAATGGCATGGAAGATCCGCTGTCTCCCCAATGAAAACTGTGTGATGAACCCCATTTCCTTGAGCAGCTTCTACGCGGGGTTCTATCACAGTTATCCTATATGTAAGAATATCTGCATCATCATAATTGGTGCTTATGCAGTGGTATATTCCTGTGTCAAAACTATCAGCCATCTGGAGTTCCAGTTTTCCACTTTTGTCTATTAGGATCCGTCCATCCTCACTCACATAAGGGGCTCTCACTTTACTCCCATCAGCTAGAAGCCACTCCAAGTGTGGGGTGGGATCTCCTTGGCCTGGGCAGTCCAGGGCAATGGTCTCACCAACCAACACCGTGTGTTCCAGCTTGGTATCGTTAAGCTTTGAAATCATGGTCCATTTTTGTTTCACTGGCCTTATCTCTTCTCTTGGTAAAATGACTTGAGCATCAGCTGAGTAACGGATCTGTAATGTACTGAGGGTGGTGGTAGTTCTGTTCAGCTGCAAGGAAATTTGGTCTTGCATTAACCAAGAAGGATCTGTGCTAAGTTCCGCCTCTATATTTGTAAAAATATCATCAGGCTTAGGAGCCACCTGTTTGTATTTGTAGCACAGCTGAGGCATTTCAGTGAGCAAATGTCTCCTCTCTAGTATCAAGGGAGAATCACTGTACAAAGCCAGAACTTGCCACAGTGGCTGGATGTGATTATAATCCACGTTGCACACAAGAAATGTTGAAATTGATGTATTAAGTGTGAGACACTCATTTTCTTCAGTGAACGCAATGGGAAGTGACCTCAATGGCTTTTGGATACTGCAGGCCATGTTAGCTTCATTTCCATTCTGATCTGTCATATTCAAAGTGAGAGAGCCAAAGGGAGCCATGAAATCTTGGGGAGAGACCGAGGCAGAACCACTGTCTTCCAGAATGGTCGAGCTCTTTGATTTCAGGGATGAGTCAATAACTGGCTTCATGCACAGGAAAGCTGAAGATGGGACCATAGCAAGGGGCTTGTCTTTAAAGATCCTGGGGTTCATGCAAAGGGGACACTGCTGAGGACTCGAGGGACTTCTATCTTTTTTGCATTTTACTACATCTAGGAAAAATCACAGTTGAATTATTATCAGTTATGACCTCTTTATAAATTAACATTTGAAAGAAATATTTTTGACATTATTTGAAAAACTGTAAATTTAATGTGTAATAGCTCAGTTTCTGTGTTTCCCTCTGAAATTGATTTCTAAAGGATATTGTTTATATATATCTTCTTATAATTTAATATGCATAGGCACAAAGGTTTTGTCTGTTTTACTTACCATGTCTAGAAAATCCTGATATATAT